TAGAAATGTGTAATGAGTAGTAGTGGATGGAGAGAGGAAAAAGGTTCACATTGAACAATTAATGCTGGCATATACTCATGAGCCGAAATAGGAGAAAGAGAGAGACAGACCCACAGTCTTACACCCCAGAAGGGGAGATTATGATGAAACGATAGCCTGGCGACGTATAGAGTTGATGTAGTTCCGGCTGAAAGTCAGCCTTGTTAATATTGTAAATAGGATACAAATTAAAGGTGAACAGACCAGTGTACCCAGGGGAGGACAGGGATGGCGTGTCGAGTAATAGTAATGAAGAAAGTGACAGTCTCAAGCCTGCTGCGCCAGGCGAGAGACTCGAACGGAGTCAGAACTATCACGCCCCGAGACCAAGTGCAAACCGACAGACGTCGGCATTCTTTTACTGTAAATAACAGTGTAAATAGATCAGTGTACTTAGGGTAGGATGTAAGCGGCCTCCGTAGTCTAGAGGTAACGTTCCCACCTCATGACTCGTAGTACGCGGGTTCAAATACCCGGCGGAGGTCGTCGAATTTTTAAGGGCGGAAAAATTCAGGGAACAAGTCCTCCGGGAGGGACTTTAAGCCATGGGTCCCGTGTCGTAGCTTTACGGCACGTAAAAGAACCTCATATCTCCAAAGGAGGTCACTGAGCCAAATTACGGACGTTTCCCGCCCAACAGCAGTCTCTAATACTTCTGGTAGATGGAGGAAGCATTATAGATACCTCTCAGCTAGTAGAGCCAGTCTAGCTGGCTGGGCGGGACTGATGGTAAGCACCAGTACCGGTAGGATATAGAGACTGGTAGAATATCATACAGGGAAGCACAATGGACCAATACAGGTCTAAGTGCATGGGGAACCCACCCTCTCCAATAACTAACTAACTAGGGTAGGATGTACACAGGGAGTTTTGATTTACTTCCCCAAACCAACCCGTCCACAACCGATTCAGAGCGATCCTACCAAGCGAAGCTAGAACTGACCCCAGGCAGTTGACGGCAGCCAAATGCAGCGAACATCCTAACAGAAAGCGTGGCGACGGACTAAAGTAGTAGTATTTTATTAGCCCCTTTAGATATAACAAAGTGATGGCAGAGGTGGGGATCAGCCAACGTAAAGTGGCTGACGTAGAGAAAGAGCAACTGTTTTACTCACCCCTTACACTGAAGCATTACTTATGGCAACGGCGGTAGGCCAAGTCAACGAAGGGTTGACTGACATAGCGAAGGGACTAGCCAAAGATAAATGGCAGACAAAGTGATTTAGTGTTTTAACCCACCCCCGTCACTAAGACATAATTGGCGACAGCGGTGAGATATCCAGTCCACCCCTGTCGCAGAGGATAATAGATGGTGTGACAGTCGATAGGTAGAGGCGGGTCAGACCTGACACGCCCGCTCTACGCCAATAATAAGAGGTGACAGTGATGAAAGGGCCAGCCAAAAGAGAACACTTGACCATCGTGCTACCGGCCCTTAGTACTTTCATCACTCCTTTTTAAGATGTAATAGATGGTGGCAGCTGTATGCAACGAAGGAAGTCCAGAACCAGGAGAATCCTAGCTGAGGGTAATCTAGGATTACTGTGTTAACCACTTACAGCGTAAGATGTGGTGGCAAGGATACCTCCACGCCCCCCTGCCACCACGGCATAATATTCTCTCTAACAGTTTCCTAAGCTCTACTGATGTCCGTGTCATCACCTAAGTTTTCCAAAGCTGCAAACCTGTTCAGGATTTTAACTGCAAATGTTCTTTACTTCCTAAATAGTATAGTTTGAGACTAAATCTTGCCATGTCTAACTTCTGTTTTGCTTGCTTACTTACTGACAGTCTCCCTCTAATTTCTGCAACCAGACAGTGACTGATATGACTGGTAGCTCTTCTGAAAAATTATACATCAAAAATACTTCAATGATCTTTCCTATCTATCAAAATGTGACTGTGCGTCCTTCTATCAGGATATGCCCAAGTGATTTTATATGTTACTAGTTTAAAATTTAGTTCTTATTTGTAACACCTTCTGAGTTTAACTTTCAAAAGTTTCATCTTGGATTTTTGGCTCAGACCTCTACTGCAGTATGTTAAGTCTCGGTTACTGAACTTCACTGAAAAATGAAGAAACTAATATTGCTTCCTTGAGGTTAGGGAGTGTCAGCATGCCAACCCAATTCAGTAATAACAGAGGAATAGCCAGTATACAGTACACACAGCTAATACAAGAATTATGAACTAAATAAGAATTGTCATCTATATCATACCTCATCTTCCTGATGAAAAATAAAACTCTTACAACTTCACCCAAAAGCACAAAAACTGTCCTTGAATAAACTGCTCTCTCCTACACTATAAACAACAAAATGAGATAACAATAAAGAACCTTTGCCACAGAGTAAGTTTGAAGATGTTTATAACAGTTTTGGTCAAATGGTCAGATTATACTTAAAGTCCAAACACACATTCTCAGTATCTTTCCAAGTTGTACAAATCATATTTATGGAATGCATATTAGAAGAGGCTTAGAAAATTACAAACAAAAACAAACTGAGTGGCTTGTAATCCACAAGTGAACTATACCGACCGAGCGACCAGCATTTGTCAGCGAAGTTAGTGCCAACATTTTGCAGACAGAGGGTGTCACATGGCCAGCGCAACGAATCCGCATGGCCATTAATTTCGGTTTTCTAGACCAGAGCCGCTACTTCCTTGAAATATGAGGCGCGTTCAAGTTCTAAGGTCTCCGATTTCTTTTCTCAGGACTGGGAGCAGATAGACACATGCGGCTTAATTTAAAATATGTGTGCACTCTTTGTGAATGCATGACAGAGATGGCAGCACTGTACAGCACACAGAACTATAGTGGTGGCGGCAAGAGTGAGGAGTGTTTTTGATACCTAAAATGGCGACGTTTACGTTACAAGAACAGCATGTAATCATTCGTTTTCTCCACCTGCGTGGCGCGTCACCCATTGAAATTCATCGCCAGTTGAGTGAGACATGTGGTGATGGTGTCATGAATGTGAAAAATGTGCGTTTGTGGGGGTGACAGTTCAAAGAAGGCCGAACAACATGTGACAGCGAACCAAAACAATCTCGGCCTCGCACCAGCTGGTCTGACAACATGGTCGAGCGAGTTGAGAAAGTTGTTTTGGAGGATCACCGATTGAGTGTGGAAAACATCACCTCCAAAGTTGGCATTTTCCGTGGGATCTGTGCACACAATCCTTCATGAAGACCTGCGAATGCAGAAAGTGTCCTCCAGGTGAGTTCCACGAATGCTGGCGGAAGACCACAAGGCTGTGCGCATGGCAATTTGCCAGGCGATGTTGACACATGATGAAGGCATGAATGGGACTTTGTTTTCATCAATTGTGACAATGCATGAGACATGGATGCCATTTTTCAATCCTGAAACAAAATGCCAGTCAGCTCAATGGAAGCACACAGTTTCACCACCACCAAAAAAATTTTGGGTAAGTGCCAGTACTGAAATAATGATGGTGGCCATGTTTTGGGACAGTGATGGCGTAATCCTTATTCACTGCGTTCCAAAGGGCACTACAGTGACAGGTGCATCATACCAAGATGTTTTGAAGAATGACTCCTTCCAGCACTGCGAGAAAAATGGCCGGAAAAGGCTGCACGTGTGCTCTTTCACCAGGACAATGCACCAGCACATCGGGTGTAGGAGACACAGCAGTTTCTTCATTAAAACAACCTTGAAGTGGTTTCTCATGCTCCCTACTCACCTGACCTGGCTCCTAGCGATTTTTGGCTTTTCCAACAATGAAAGACACTCTGCATGGTTGCACATTCACCAGTCGTGTCGCTATTGCATCAGCGATTTTCCAGTGGTCAAAACAGACTCCTACAGAAGCGTTCGTAGCAGCCATGGAATCATGGTGTCGACGTTGTGAAAAATGTGTATGGCTGCAGGGATATTACATTGAAAAGCGATAGAAGTTTCAAATTTTTTGTATGATTATTATGTGAGAAAAAAATCGGAGACCTTAGAACTTGAACGCACCATGTACCTCCTCCATTATCCTCACGAGGCTGAGTGGACCCTGTTCCAGACCCACTAATTCTCAGAAAATCTGGTAACACCGGGAATCGAACTCAGACCTCTGCATCTGCTGCCAAGAACTCTGACCACTAGACCACAGAGGCGGTCCTTAGAAAAATACAGAGCCAAAAATTTAGAAAACTTCAATTTTATTACCAAAATATAACAAATTTTTCAAGCTGGGGTTTACAAATTCTTAAAATCTGAATGAACAGGGTGATTTCACCTTCAAACCATAAAACCAAATTAATTATGGCAAATCTGCTTAGTAGATAATCAATATAAAAATTTAAAATGCTTTATGTCCAATGTCATGTAAATCATAGATCTGAGGTTCTTATGGCATTGATTACGAAGATTACTGCCTTCTGGGATGATATGTCATGTAGTTTGGTAGAGAGGTACCAACATTGCATAGGAACATGCTCTTCAGGTTGGAAGAGACTCTTTCCAGAAAACAGTAAGTAATATTCTTGTGTAAATGAAATAAAGACTGAAACCAAACTATCTAAAGTGTCATGTTAAAGGGAAAGCATTGGCTGAAAACAAATGAAACTAAACACTGACACTGAGACTAATTGGGAAAGAAGATAAAAATATCAACCTACATCAAAGCACATAAAACAGTTTCAGCATCACAAAACTAATAATTAAAAAATTTTAAATTCTGTCAAAATAATAGAGGTCTGTGCTACTACATTTAAACTTTCAAACTGGAATGAATTTCACAGTCCCACTAGTTTCAGTCATACCATACTAGCAGTCCCATTTGGGTATTTGCTTTCCAGGCACTATTTAAAACAAAAACAAAACATTTATTAACAAACAATACTGTAGAATTTACTATACATATAATGTAACCAATGTCTACAAATTAATCAAGTTTCTGTATACTGTCATTCATATCACCAACACTGTAGAAACATAGATGTCCTACCTGTGCATTACATGGCTGGCGTTTCACTAGTTTTTGGTCTTGCATCACCTTATGAACATAGTTCTGCTCTGGTAAACAATTAATTCTTAACCAATCACGGATCCCTAATAACGTATGGAACTCCGAATTTGGGATCCGACTCCAAGGGTTCAAACCTGTCAAGTCCAAGATGGAAACTCCTAAAGCTCGACCAACCTATAAACAATCAACAATATATCCTGCATAATTACATAATAATAAATACTTACAAACTGAATGTGACATGTGATATCACTGTCCTACTTTGGCTCAAACAACTGCAATTCTACAGAAATTCAGCGCTCATGAGTTAAAACACTTTTGGGAGCAAAGCGGTATCATTTGAGGTGTAGTAAAGTTACACTGAGCTCCAGCAAAGGGCTGGGGCTAGAGTAGATGCTGCTACATTAGCTGGATCCAACAATTATCAAGAAACTAATTCTTTCACACACTCTGTCAGATTCAGTTATTCAGGCTGTCATATTAAGGTCTCCTCTTAAACTGCGTAGATTATTAAGAAACAATTTAAAGGGATATGATGGTGTCATATGTTCAGGCAAATGGGTATAAAGTGAATCCTTTACTCAACTCAGATCAAGAGTTGAAAACAGATTTCAAAATATAAAATATGAAAGAAAACAAAGTAAAACTGGCAACATACATGTTCAAATAAATAGGCCACAAAAGGGATCCTAAGTAACTTCCAGTATTCAGAAATTTGTGTTCGGTCAAATGTCAGACTGATATCAAGAATTTTAAAATAGAAAAATAAATAAATAAAATAAAATTGACACATTTGAGCACACTATGTTAAAGTAAAATGACCAGAAACGTCTAAATTCAGTACAAAGGAATAATGTCAAGGCAAGTGATGAGTTGTTTACTATAGCATGAGATAATGATTTCATGTAGCGGCATCCATCCTGAGAAGATGACAGTCACTCAACTAGTCTAGTAATTTACCATCTTTTTAGAATTCAAAAGTCCATTGCCATGTACACAAAAGCTCAACACTGGTACACACTCTACACCAGACAAGTCCAGTTCACTCTCATACTATTTCTTTTAACACTTTGCGGACCAGACACATGTTATCAGGCTTTTTGCTTTTAAATGTGACGGACCAGTCACATGATAACATGATTTTAGGACACGTTAGGTTGTAACACACTATACCTTGCTCTGGCGCTATGCAACTTCAACGAATACTGCGTAATAAATCTTCGGAATGTATGCTAGGTATTCAGTAACTTGACCTGGCTGGCTAGGGTCCCTACTCCAAAAGAAAATAAACTTTGCCCCTTCCAGCTGTTTATGTACCAGGCAGGAAGTTAGTAGAGGGGAAAACGGCCTATGTAGTCTAGAGGTAACGTTCTCACCTCATGACTCGTAGTACACGGGTTCAAATACCCGGCGGAGGTTGTCGAATTTTTAAGGGCGGAAAAATTCAGGGAACAAGTCCTCTGGGAGGGACTTCAAGCCGTGGATCCCATGTCGTAGCTTTATGGCACATAAAAGAACGACATATCTCCAAAGGAGGTCACTGAGCCAAATTAACGGATGTTTCCCGCCCAACAGCAGTCTCTAATACCTCTGGTAGATGGGGAAAGCATTATAGATACCTCTCAGCTAGTAGAGCCGGTCTCGCTGGCTGGGTGGGACTGATGGTAAGCACCAGTACCAGTAGGATATAGAGACTGGTAGAAATCATAGAGGGAAGCACAATGGACCAATACAGGTCTCAGTGCATGGGGAAACCCACCCTCTCCAATAACTAACTAACTAGTAGAGGGGAATATGTTTCAAGGACAAAAGTGGTTGAAGGCAAAGCGATCTCTCAGACTTGTTCTCCAATGAAGCTATCTGATGTGCCTTGTGGAGGAGTAGTGATTAGTTACTCAGACGGTGGAAGTGACAGGGGTCAACAGAGAACTGTGGCCACAGATAATAAAAGTGAAATTTGCCTTGTGGCTTATACATTGTGCCATTTTCAATTCATTTTTGGTTTACAAAAATCTAAACCCTGATTCAAAATTGAAATACAAAGAATTTCTGATGAATGTGGCAAAGGCCTGGGCTACAGACCAGATGGTGGCGGCAGAACAAGAGTCAGACAGACTTAATGCGACCTAGCCCATCAACTCCCACCAAACACAGGCCTCATGTGGACAGCCCTGAGGACTCTCGGGGTGATATGCGGAAACATACCCTCCTGAAAATTGTGAAGAGTGAACATTCCAAGGGGAAGCATCCTTCTAGGCAATGCCGTTTGCACAGTTCACAAAAAAAGGAGTATGACTGTCTACATTGCAAGTTTTGTGTAATGCCACTTCAAAAAGGGGAATGTTTCAAGAAATATCACTCTCAAGCACTTCTAGGAGCATTGCTAAGTGTTCTCCAAATATTTTAGTTCATAAAATTAATTAGGAGATTTTATATTAAGTTTTAAAGTGAACAGTGCACAAGTTAGGGTAGTAGGTACAAAAATGCCGGTCCCCAGGGTGATTTAAATATTTAAATCGCCAGTCCACAAAGTGTTAAGATCCATTTTGATATACAGGGGATGGACAAAAATATGGAAACATCTCGTGAAATGCATGCCTGAATTGAAGTGTTTATTTTAGCGACATTTGTAGGTGACACTGTTGTATCTGCCCAATAACACTATCTGTACAACCTCCGCAATATGTTGCAAGCTTCATTTGTTGTCAAGACAGTGTTCTGTGCAGTTTTTAGTGCATCATGTCACAGCTAACAGAATTCAAACGCAGGCAAACTGTTGGGGCCCATATGGTGGTTGCTTCCATAACCAAGGTAACCGAGGTTTTTGGTCTTTCACGAGGCACGGTATCAAGATCATGACCGCATACAGAAGGACTGGAAAAACCACATCCAATAAACACCAGCATGGACAGAAATGTGTGTTGAGTGATCGAGACAGACAAATATTGCATAGGATTATGAAAAAAAATAAGAAGACTACAGCTGCAAAAGTGACTGCTGAACTGAATGTCACGCTCACAAACCCTGTCAGCACCAAAACAGTACGAAGGGAACTCCACAAGCAGGGTATATCTGGATGAGCTGCAATTCCAAAGCCGCTTGTCAGTGATCAAAATACCATTAAGAGGAGAGTGTGGTGCCGAAGTCATAAAACCTTGACTATGGAGCAATGGAAGATGGTCATTTGGTCAGATGAGTTCATCTTCACACTGTTTCCGACTTCTGGCCAAGTTTAAGTCTGGAGAATGCCATCCAAAGCTTAAAATCCAGATTGTTTGCTGCCAAGAGTGAAACATGGCGGGGGTTCAATCATGGTATGGGCAGCCATATTGTGGTATTCTGTTGGACCCATCATGACCCTGCAAGGTCATATCACTGCCAACGACCATGTGACCATTTTGGGCAACCAGGTCCATCCCATGGTGCAAACTTTGTTCCTCAATGGTGATGCCATTTACCAAGATGACAATGCCCATGTTCACACAGCTCACATCGTCCAGGACTGGTTTTCTGAGCATGAAGACGAAGCGTCACATCTGCCATGGCCCCCACATTCGCCAGATATCAATATTATTGAGCCTTTGTGGTCTGTTTTGGAGAGCAATCTGCATGCTCGCTATCCACCTCCATCATTGTTAACAGAACTTGCCAATGTTTTGCAGGAAGAGTGGTACAAGATTCCCTTGCAAATCATACAGGACCTCTATTTATCCATTCCAAGGAGACTGCAAGCAGTTCTGCAAGCCAGAGGTTGTCCTACGCCATATTAGTCACAGTAATGTGTTTTTTGTTGGGTGTTTCCATATTTCTGTTCATCCCTTGTAATTTTCCCACTTTCTCTTCAGGTTTCTGTCAATAATTCTGTAAGCATTTCTCTTCCCTACCATGCAGCTTATGTACTCTATCCATCTCAACCTCCTTCATTTTATCATCCTAGTATTATCTGGCAAATAGTACACATTATGAAGCCCCTCTTTATGAACTTTTCTCCAGCCTTGTGCCATTTCCTACAGGTCCAAATATTCTCCTCAGCAGCCTATTCTCAAAACCTTAGTCTATGTCCTATATAATTCATATTATTCACCATATATTACTAGGGTGACCAACTCAAGAAAGATGAAATGGCCAGGGCATTTAGCCCATATGGAAGAGACAATGAATATATACAAAATGACAGCTGGAAAGCCTAAAGAACATACAACTCAGAAACTTGGGAATAAACTGGGAGGATAACATTAAAATGAATCTAGAGTGTAAGAGAAGCAAAACTAACTCAGTTGGCATATAGACTAGGCTATATGATGGATGATCAAGAATTGTGAGTTTGATTCCAGCTGTGGCAAGAGATTCTTCTTTCCTCCAGTGTTCAGACCAGCTCTAGGGCCCACCCAACCTCCTATGGAATGGGTACTGGGAGCTACTTCCCTGGGGGTAAAGTGACAGAGGCATGAAGGTGACCACTCACCTACATCTACTGCTGAGGTTAAGAATGGTGAAGCTACACCTCTACTACACCTAAGTTTTCATGATGTGATGCTTCATTAATTTAAGCACAAGGATAAATTACCTTCACATGGGGTATAAGGATGTGGCCTGGATTCATATGTCAGGATAGGGACCAGATACAGAGTCCTGTGAACATGTTAATGAACATAGTATACTCATACAGTGTTAATAATGTCTATAAAATTACATTAATGGACCTTCAGCTTCTGTAAAAGGCAAAAATTTCTTGGCTAGCTGAGTGAATATCAGCCTATTAAGGACTCTGCTCCTTGGAATTTGCCAATCATATGAACACAGCAGCTTATGGCTGTTTACTTGCTAAAAGTGGATGGTTACTTTTTCTTGTTACTTTACCTCTTCAAACACTTGTGGTGTGTATTTTGGTGGCACCAATAATGCTACAGCTGGAGAATTCTTGATTTCCTTCATACATGGTGGCAAGATATTGACCAATCTTCCTGTGTTGTAATTACACTCCAGAGTGTAGCTACGAACAAGTCCTGTTGTCTTCCATACAGCAACTCTACCTGATCCTTCACGGCTCATCCCATCACGCCTATCTCTGCACATATGGTTCATGCTATTTACAGCTTTCTTGTGCAAGTGTAAATGAAATGGCAGAAAGGATCTCTCTCATTAAGCATACCCTGAAATCAGCCTCATCAAACAGATTAATATTAGCCAAAAATCATCAAAATAGGGAGACAGTTTAACCCTTAAGACCACATAACATATTAAGTAAACAATGAGAAAATTAAAATTTGGCAAAAGAAAAACAGAATTTACACACACAACAGACTAATCTGACATTATGTTTAAGAGCCCTGAAAGCATGGAATCTGAAAATGTGTAAAAAAATCCGTTTTGTATTACCCATAACAGGCGAAGTTTACACATTTCCTGTTTTATTTTTGAAATTTCCTTCTCAAATTGGAATCCACTCTAGTTTCTTGCAGAATCAAAATTTTCTCATAAAACAACATTCAACGTTTGTGGCAGAACAAACCACCACATCTACATTTTGGGGCCAAAGAATCTCCAGACAATCTGGAAACATGAAAGAGACACCTCAAAAATCCACTAGATGAGATGAGAGGGTTGCTACATACAGAAACTGAAAAGGATATGGGAGAAATCAGTTATGTCTTATTTCAAGGTACTAAGTGACATTTGCCTGGAGAGACAGAAGTGTTATGAAAACATCAGTCAGTACTGACAGTGCCCTGGCCTAGGCTTGAATGTTGGGCACTTTAGCACCAAGTAAACCTACATGATCCTGAAATATCCCAATTGCAGAGACTGACAAACTTCTAAGATACTTCACTGAAATAACCAGTTGCCAAAGGACTAATTGTTTATGGAGTCATGTTAACACGCTCAATGCTACCTCAATTAAGGGCATAAGTTGCAACCAGGAGCCAGTGCCTTTCTTAGGTGTTTATGTGGGACATATGTATCAGACAACAGTTCTACCAAATATTTTAATTTTCATCACATGAACCATCAAAATGGAACATGATGCATATGTTCATCAGGTGCACTGAAAGATGTTGATATATACTCTGTGCTGGTCAATGCATGCAAGCATTATCAATTTATGACAAAAATGCCTAATCATTACATAAAAATACAGAATTGGTTTCCAGCGATGAGAAACAATAGTATAAGCGCAAAGAGCTACATGCTTTGCATTATGTCCTGCATCAGAAAATACCTTCATATTGTTACTGAAGCTGCCACAACAGAAACTATTTACTTTCACCGATGAAACTGTCCAAATCATGGTCCCAAACATAGTCCAGGATATCTAGGGTATTAGAGAGTTTCACATAGAATTTTTTCTCTGCACCCCCCTCCAACTTTTTGTAGCATACTTTGCAGTGCTTTCTCAATGCTTTCCCTTTGTCATTTGCTGGCACTTGCCTTAGTGACTTGGGTTTCATTTTGGGGTAATATACAAAGACAATGGGTGCCACACAACAGAAAATCCAATCCTGTACGATAATTTTTCTCCAGAATATCTGGAATGTAAGTGGTGTGTGTTCAGCATCATCTCAATGTGAGTGTGACTATAGCAAAACAAAGGCAATCACTGCTGACCATTTTGGACAGGAAAAGCCACTGATATTACTATGTGATTTGTACCTGCTCCTTATGAATTAAGCAGAAGTAATCATGTTAAAAGCCGGTCACAGTAGCTCAGCTGTCTAAGGTATGTACTGTCTTTGCTCGCTTGGAAACCGGGATCGTGGGTTCGAATCCCACTCAGGGCATGGATGTTTAGTTTGTGTGTGTGCGTTTATCTGTGTTTGTGTATAGGTAGAGGCCTTGTGACAAGCTGATCACCCGCCCAAGGAGTCCTACCGAATGTGTAAGATCTAGAAAAACCAAAGTGAACAGAGAAGTTCATGGAGGTAGGCATAGGCCCACTGGGGCTGTAGTGCCAAGAAAAAAAAAATCATGTTAAAAAGTAGCCCATAAACTGAATCCATATTTTTTGGAGGAACTTGGGGACAGGATCACAAATGCAACAAATAAAATCACTCAGCAGTAATTATAAAATATTTTTTCAAAGCACTCCAGGTTTCTGAAAACTTGTTTGATCAACAATGGAACTGAAAAATAGTAATTAAAAATGGAGATCACGTTCAGTCTAGATATTTGTAATAATATTTTTGTAAATTACAGTAAATGTTCTTTCATATGCTATTTACAGTTTTATTCTATCAGTAGAGAACAGCCCATTCAAATCAATGGAAAACTGAAAATATTAATATAGGAATACTTTTTAGAGGTTATCTGATTCTTGAGAAAGCCATTCCTTATTAGAAGAATTAAAAACACAGCTTAGAATGGAATTATTTAGGAGAAACAATAAGTTTAGAGGTTTGTTATAATGAAGGGTGATGTGATTTATGCATATTCATAGGCTATAAAACTGTTGCTATTCAAAAACAACTTATGGCCAAATTTATGGGCATTGGATCAATGTTGAAAAACAACTTACTAAGAAAATGCCAGGAAAGAGTATACCTGTAGCTAACTCTACATTTTCAACAATGAAGCACTTTTATACTCAGGAAATAAACGTATTAACCATATCAATGAATGAATTTTTAACAGTCTTGATGAATTAAAATAAGTGTAGACCTCACTGTATACAGGCCTTCTGTAACATGCACTTCTTGGTGGAGTTTCAAGTTATATTCCTGTTTATTTCCTAGTAGAGTCTACTATCAAGGTGACCAATGGCATTGGGCATACATATATATCACAAACGACTGCAATATTTTGTTTCAGAATATGCTTGAAATCAACAGGAGGCATATATGGGTGCAGTTTTCAAACAGGCCTTATGCTATTCATGGAGATGAGAATTCTAGCAGTTGTAAGGGTATACTGCCATCATATTATCTACATGAACTCATCAAGTGTCTACTTTGGTTATGCTGTTGGTTTCAGATTATAGCCTTCAACATCATTTTGCTGAACTGGTCTATATAAACATTGCTATACATATGTTTTGAAATGAAACAGACCTTCCAACCCTTCATAAAATAAGTAATATTCCATGATAAATATCAACTACACTTCACACATTCACATCTTACAAGGGAATGGTCTGATCTGACATGTTGAAACCTGTCCTGATTTTTTTTTTACTGCAAGAGTACACACAACAAAATCCACTGTCAAAATTTTAGCTGTTAATACGCACTGCAAGTATTTTTTTAAAAATTGCTGAACATGGACAATATTGTATTTAGTTTAGTGAAATTTTGGTTAAATGAAGGCGGGAAAAAACGCTTGAAGTTAAGCAATGTGCAAAACCGATTCCATTTTGTAAAATCGGAACATGAATTGTACAAATCGAAGAAAGAATTACATGAAGAAAGAAATATGCATCAAAATGAAACTCAGAAAAGTCTAAAAGAACGACTATTCGAAAGATTTAGAACTGCACGTGAGAGACAGTGTACCGTTACCAATGGAGATCTACAAGACTGGGCTCCTCGAATCATGAATGAGACGAACATTAGTGATTTCCAGGCTTCTTCGACCTGGTTAAGTAGATTTAAGAAATCATACAGAATTGGGAGTTTGAAGATTACAAAATTTATTTCAAGAAAACGTGTAGAAGAGATACCATTAATCACGAATGCTATAGAGAAGTTCGTAGCTGATGTGAAGTCGAAGCTTGCTGTTGTTATCCCTGCAAGTGCTGTGTATAATGCAGATCAGTAAGGTTTCGAGAATGAACTGTGTGCCAAATGCACATTATCATTTCGTGGCGAGAAACAGACGGAGTCAGTAGTGCAATCAATGAATGCTATGACTCATTCTTATACAGTAATGCCAGTGACAAGTATGAGTGGATTACTATTGACTCATCTTTATATTTGCCTTCAGGAACCTCAAGGCAAATTGGGACCACAAATTAAAAAGGGGCTGTTTACTTGCAAAAATCTTATAATTGACGTATCAAAATCTGGCAAAATGGGAAAGAGTAATTTTCAATATTTCATTCGAACCATCTTCTTACCTGTTGCGGAAAATAATTAATTGTTTTTGGTGGACTCTTGACCTGGACATAATGACACCTCTGTCTTTCAGGAGGATGACCAGAAGACTGTTAATATAATGACAATTCCCCCAGGAACAACCAGTGTGATTCAATCACTTTATAAAGAATTTTTTTTTGACAGTGGAGAACATTTTTTAGAAAACTGTCAGACAATATACTTTCCAATAGCTCTGTGTCATTTCAGGTCTTTCAATGGAACAGTATCCTTAAACTTCAGTCATTTGTACATTGCCAGTTTTCATCACCACGTTTTACGAACTTGATAAAGTATGACGGGTATGCAGCACAATATGTAGAACAACAGCCAGGACCATTTTTTACTCCATCCCAATTTTGTCTACAAAAAACTGTTACTCACTGTGAAGTGCCTGAATGCATTAACTTTTCATTCGTTGGGTGTGCTTGGCGTAAAGAAAATGTCTGTTTTCATCACGCCATAGACACTTCACATTTTTGTGAAAACTATAAAGAATGAACAAAAAACTGCTTCATTGTGGGTAAAGAAGTATTACAAATGATGTACGTATGTGCATTATGTCCATTATAACAAATTAAATTCTTGAGTAGATTGATGCACGATCGTTCGTCCTTATTACCCAAGGTCAAGCTTGCGCTGTCTCGTCACAGCTGTTGTGAGCGCTAGGAAGGGTTGTACAAACCTCTGGTACAAACAGTTCTGCGTACAGAAGAAATCAGTAACTTCGGCAATTTTTAAAAAATACTTGCAGTGCGTATTAGCAGCAAAAATTTTGACAGTGGATTTTGTTGTGTGTACTCTTGCAGTGAAAAAAAAAAATCAGGGCAGGTTTCGACATGTCGGATCAGACCATTCCCTTGTTAGTATCATAAGTACTCACGGAATAGGCTTGAAACAGGGAAACAAAAACTGTTTGCACATACATGGCCTACTACATAAGTTATTTTCATGCAACATGTTAATGCTTGAAAATTTGTAACTTTATACTGTGTAATTTCAG